AGTTTTTTTTTTTTTTTTCTATGCATCTTATACCATTTTATTGTATTGATTTTCAAAGTAACAAATGCACAAAGGTCATATTTATATCATCTAATTTGTTGAAAAATAAACGGGCGAAATAAAATTAAAGTCCATAAGTAAATAATATGTTAGCCAATGCATAGAATATGTATAATAACAGGTCTAGTCTCGAGTGAGGTATATATAATGTTTATACGTTAATTATTGTATCGATAATTGCGGACCTGCTCCAGCATGGAAACACACACCAGTACGGCATGTAATTGTTGCCTGAGTCTTGAGAATAAAAAAGAATAACAAAACACTGAATGTAATACATACACGCAACAGCTAGCAGATCCTTCATTAATCGCATTAAAAGTACAGCACACTCATAAGAGCTTTTAGGGGCTGTTTAAATGCTGTTGACACAGACCACCTCGATATGATGGAGCTGAGCACAGCACAGCGAAAAGTAACAATTTTTTTCAATTCTCTCTCTCTCCCCTCCCTACAAACCTTCCCATTATATCCAAACTTTTTTGTACCATCACTGAAGCGCCACGTGTAGCTAATTATACTTACCTCATGACTATATCAATAGGCTCTTATAGCTCTAGTTCCAGACTCATCGTATGTAATGGCACTACAACTACAGCCACTTTCGCTTTACCTACTGCTCTTACCTATACTGTTACACTTTCGCGTTCGATACGCTCCAATCAAACGCAACCCCCAAAGCACTTGCAGCACCTATGTACGATCTAATATCAAAACTTTGGAAAACAAAACAATCGCATAACAGCGTAAAGATGATCAATTGACAATCATAAGGAAAAGATAGCTCAACAGTATTTTATCTACCACACCGATTAATGAGCCGCCGTAAATCGATTGATTACGCGGTCAAACGAAATACGTATACATATGCCAGGCTCTTCCACCGATAACGTGGTACGTTATCGTCTATGCAGCTTACGTGTCTCGGTCGTAGACCTTATAGCCCCTCAAACACTAGAAACTTGGAACAAAGTAAGGAAGACTATTGTTGACACACTTGTCTTTACTCACGCCAACGAAGCGCTATCGTCGCTCAGGCAGTGGTCGGCAAGTGTAAGAATAACTTTTGAATTATTTCTTCAACAATTATTTTAATATTCATCTGTACTCTGCTGCTAAGTCTTTCTTATCTTTCTCGAGAAATCATTGGTGTATTGATTTCTGTAGTTAATGAAAATAAAATGGCGCGAAAAACATTATTGGACGAAAATTCGTATACCAATCAATGTACGTGTACATTTCTCATGAATACGAAAGTACGACGAGTAGCCTAAAAACATCACACGAGTCGCGAAATGATTCGTAGGTACGTCTCGGGGGGGTGGCGAGCCGCTCGAGGAATAAGAGAGAGGGAGAGAGTGGGGTGGTGGAGCCATCTACGCTCCTGGCCGGGCTTGCTTTCTAATTATTCCCCACAGGCCGTAAGGGATGGCGCGTAATTGGAGGGTGGCCGAGGACGCATCGATCCTCCTCCGTCCCGAGGAAATTTCTCTCGGCGACCCGGCCACGCGTGTGTGTGCGAGAGACGGTGGCCGAGGAGGGAGGGAAGCTGGGGGGCACCGGTGCGCAAAGAAAAGTGATAATGTCTTGAGCTGCGGGCCCCATTTAACTTCTGATCCATCTACTTCTCTCCTTCCAAGGATTTGAGGGGAAACGGAAAGGAGGAGTGAAAAAAAGGAAGAAAACATCGCTGCTCTAAACTCGTAGAGATAGGACTCGCAAGCCGCGGTCGGACAACTGCGGGAGTGTGGGCCAAGCAGAGAATGAGCCGAGGGTTTAAGGATGGCCCGCCTTGAGATCTCGGGGAGCGGCAAACTAAGCGCTGGCACTGATCCTCTGCTCGTGGCCCTCCCTCGCGCTCGGCTACGGGAGAATCTCGATACTCGGCTCATCTAATTTGAGTCCTCGGCTAGTTGAAGCATGTACCAGCCGAAGATGGGTACATGTACAGGTGTTTCCCCAACTCTTTCGTTCAAATGAGAAAAAATCAAGCAGGGTTCACTTTATTGGGTTAAAGGGTATTCTAATTATTGGAATGAGGTCTCGTGATGATACGAAGCATTGTTCGAGCAACCTTAGCGATAACAAAATCATATAGTAATTAAGGTGGAAGGAACAAACCGAAGATTGTCAAAGACAGTCAACATCGTTAGTCCAACAACACCGGAGACGACGTTTCATCGATCACCCACGACTCTGTCATCCCCATAGCCACTGCCGATTCAACCTAACATACATCCCAATATCATTGAGGAAGCACGATCGACAGCTTCTACCAGCTACAAGTTTCCCGGAAGGAAACAACACGGAACCTCGTGGACGATCGGCGAGCTAGCCCGAAGTGGTCTTTGACACCGATATGTTGCTCACTTAGCTGTTCCGCGAATCGATAACGGCGCAACAAAACATTCATACTCCACGAAGCGCGAGCCATTTGTGCAATGCACTAGTTGTCGTTTGACACACCGCGGCCGATCGATGCCAGTCAAGGTCTTCCTCGACCTTAGTCTTTCTCCGTTTACCTGTGTTTCCATGAATTAGCAACAACAGCAATGACAATAATTTCCATGTTAAAGCACAAATGGCCTTTTGAATGATGAGAAATAAAAACCGAATGGAGTGGGCAATGGGTGCATCGCAGCAGCCATTACGAAACATCGAACGGATCCTTTTGGAAAAGCGCTGGAGCGGGCCTGTAGGTGGCTGCACCGTTCAGACGCCGGAGAGAAAGATCGAGGGAAGGCAGTGGTATTGGACGGGGGGGGGGAGAGGGAGTAACGGTGCACTACAGGGGGGAGATGAAGAGCAAAGAGTACCGGTAGGCAGCAACGGGTGACCGAGGACTGGTGTGTGCATTCCGGGCCGTACTCTCCAGTGGAGAAAAGGCGAGCACCAGCAGGGAGGGAAGAGGTGGCCAACCTGGGCCGCTTCTCCTTACATGCCACGCGTCAAAAAGGACGAAAGAAGAGCACGGAAGGAGGAGGACGATCGAGCCCCACAGAGGGGGAGGACCAGCGAAGGGGGAGGGCAAGCAAGCCTCTCGAACGGGGGTGGACAGCGAGCAGCCGGGAGGACCGCCCCCACTTTGGCAGCCGGCGAAGCAGAGCTCGGCTGCTCGCGCACTCGTACCTGCCTCCCCCTCCAATGGTACACTCGCGCACGCTCTCGAGGCCCCGTGTGTCTCTGCACCAAAGAGCCACCCCCGCTGCTCTCGCCCTCCCTCTCCCTTGGCCCCACTACCGGGACAACAGCAGCGAGCCAACCACCCCTGAAGCGCTTTCTCCCTTCGACATAGCACACGGCGCACAGTAGCTCTCGAGCGGGCGCGTTAGCGACAAGGGCTAGGCTGCGCGCTTGGCGCACCTATACCAATCCATACGGCACCTATACCGCTTGCTCGTACATTTTAGGCCAGCTATATAGGTGTCTATTATTGGCTGTCACCAGCCGAGTGACGTGTACAGCTGTGACATTTTTGCGCACCACCACCACCGCAACGTAACATTAAAAGTAGACTGTACCGATAACTGTCTATCTTATTGGAACAACTGGTTCGCGACGCAGATACTATACTGTGTTGTTTTTCTTGTTATCATTGTTGGTGTTGGTTTGTTTTTTCTTCATCCTTTTTTTTTTTTTTTTTTTATTGTGTGTGCGCGTAAAGACATACCATTTATCCCTAGATGTCCGTACAATCGAGACGAAGATGATGGCGCTTGGTTGTTTGGTAAATGTGCAATCGATTTCGGGCCCTGACTATCATACAAAGTAGATACGTTTTTAAGGACACGTTTTTTGCCTTTGCTGTTGTTGTCGTTGTGATTTGTTACATTGTTTTTCTACTTTATGCTGCTACTGTTGTTTTCGTTGTTATATAATTTGACAAGCAAAAGAAGGATAATGCGAAGGTGCTGCTTTGCCGCGAAGTGATTGTTTTGTCAAACTTTCGATCGGTTCGCTTGTACCACGTGACGGGGTGAAGCACCAGATACCCATATTACGTGTATACATCAAATTTAGTTGTTGTTGTTGCACACTCTGACCATTAGAGAGCCACTGTAGTTGGTCCTGAATCGTCCCGTACCGCTGTACTGCCCAATTTAGCTTAGCTAAACGAAAAAAAAAAAAAAAAAAAAGAAAAGAAAAGATAATCATGCAAACAATAGCACACGTGTCACGCCACGTACCTACCTAGTATATAGAAAAACAAAACAAAAAAGAGAGAGAGAGAGAGAAAGACCTAGTTATGCTCGCCGCTGGCTCGAGCTTGCGCCGTTGTGAGACTCGCCTGTACGATCCTCTGGAATTTTTCTGTTCCAGGGTCGAACTCACCAGCGTCCCGGGCGGCCAGAATGCGATGGCCCACCTCAAAAAGCGCAAGCTCGAAGCGGAATCGGCAGCCACGAAGTCGAAGCAGCAACAGCTACCCCAACCGCAACAGCTCGGCAACTCGCTGGGCATGATGAAAAAGGGACCGGCCAACGACATGGAGAACGACCCGGTGATTCGACGCCGTAGGAAAAGCGTGCGCGACGACCAGAAATCATCCATGACGACGGCCATCGAGTCCGAGCTTGGCAACAACAACAAGACCAACCTCAGTCTGCCCCAAAAGAAGAGAGTCTTCTCGTCGGCCAACAACAACAATAACAACAACAACAATAACAACAACAACAACAACAACAACAATAACAATAACAACAGCAATAACAACAACAACAACAACAACAACTCGGGCAGCCCGGCGAGGAAGACGAACAAGAATAATTGCGAGGAGCCAGAGGCAGACGAGAACCTCATCCGAGAGACCGAGGCAGCGCTAAAGAGTCTCTCGGGTAGCTGGGCCCCGATACCGCGGGGCTCCTTCTACCAGCGCAACAACTCGGACGAGGACTGCAGGTACGAGTCGAACTTTGAGAACCTCTTCGAGGAGAAAAAGGACGGTGCGAACAAGATGTCGCCCTCGTCGTCGATGTCGCAGTCATCGATCGCGAGCAACGAGACCGGCTGCTCGCTCAAGGACGTGATAACCCTACGGGGCCATCAGGACCCCAAGGGGCGATTTCAACACCAGTTGCAGAGCAAAATGACGGACTATAGGCTGCTCAATGGGAACGCCAAGGTGAAGAAGGAGGAGCCCGACTGCAACGGCCGGTCGCTCGCCTACTCCAAGGATCGGCTGATGCACCTTACCGATCACCACCAGAGCAAGTACTTGGCCTCGCGGTACGAGCCACCGGACTTTAACGAGCTCGTCGACGAGTCCTCGAACGAGTTAGAGATCGACATGTCCGATCCGGCTGCCGAGCGCAACGAGAACGACCACTCCGAGAAGGACCGGATGTCCCTCAAGGCCGACCCGACGATCGGCAAACAGCACCACCTCTACGGCGCCTACCAGACCAGGCCCTACGACGGGCTCAAGGTCAACTCGTCGTCCCCCTCACCGGTCGGCTCCTCCTCCTCCTTCTCCGTGACCTCGGCCTTCAGGCCCCCAAACACCGACCACACCAAGAGCAACAGCACCACCAGCTTGCGCGGCGGAATCGTCGGTTCCCCGGCGTCCACGATCCCACCGTTGGGCCCGTATCCCGCGGCGGCGACGTTCGTCGGGTACCCGACACCCGGGCCCACGATGCCTGTGCCGCAACCGGTGCCGGTCATGTCGCCGCCGATCGACGACAAGCACGGCTCAACCGTCTCCCTTCTGCAGTTGAAGTCTCCCAAAGAGGAGGCGATGCCGGCTGTGGTGCAACGCACCGACGCGATTCCCACGGCTGCCAGCGCCAAGGGCTCGATCGGTAGTCCCGACGTCAACTCCAAGCAGTACACGATACTTCAGCCGGCGGGGGTTGGCTCGCGCGCGGCTACTGCCATCCAGGATATAGCCAGGGAGGGCGTCGTCAGCGTGACCGCGGTCAGCAGCTCGAACGGTGGGTCGAGTGGAAAGCCGAGCAACGGAGCGGGTAGTGCGAGTGGAGCAGCGAGCAACGACAGCAACAACAGTGGCAGCAGTGGCGCGGTGGGTGCGGGTTCGCTGTCGACGACGGCGAGCCCCTCGGCAATCGGGGACGCGGGGGCGAGCGCGATAACGAGCCAGCAGCAAGATAATGGCATTAAACTGGCCGATCGGGCTGGTCCCTTCGACGGCAGGCCCGCCATGTCGATGTCGCCCTTGAGTCTCAGCAGGGGTAAGTTTCAAAAGAAACATTTGCTTTTTCGAACGGGTGGTGCTCTTTTAAGCGAATTATCATACTGTCGACGGTGATTCAATCAGGATGGGGTTGTTTGAAAGAGTAGCAGTGGTGGATGGGGGTTTTTTCCCGGAAATTTTGGCAAACTAGGTGAGGGGAATTGAAAAAACACATTCGCTCTTGCACACGCGCACAATAGTATATGTAGGTCAGGAGTGCAGTGGTGGTGACGGGAGTAGTTTGCATGTTTGAAATTTCTATTTTCAAGGAGCCTTTGGAGGGGGAAAAAAAAAATTGGCGAAACATTTGGACGTGGCAGCTGGGGTGAAAACAACCCCCGGGAGCTCGAGTTTCGCAAAAGGGGGACCGTGTGGAAGGCATTCATAGACTTTGAGCTGATCTCTCTTGCGCTTTTGCTCGTGCGTTTTCTCTCCCTTTTTCCTACGGGGTTGGGGTAGCCATGGGATGGGACGGAAAATCGATAATTACGCAGCAAGGGGTGATGACTCGAGTGACAAAATCAGAAGAGCATTAGTCTCGTGTCGATTTGGTTTTGCAAAAATGTGAATAGTCTTGATTCAGCGATTTAAACATTTACATGGAATGTACTGGAACTTTTTTTGGGAAACACATTTGAAAAGACAACTAAACTGTTTCATTTCTGTCAGATGGTATTTTACTTAAAAGATAAGTGGCTCAGTGCTCAAATGAATAAAATTAATATTTTTGTACTAAATACCTAAGTTGTACATATTTTGATAACCAAAGCAATAACCATAGAATGCAACAGACACAATGTTTTAGTTAAGAAAAAAAAAAAATTCGGACACCATGAAAGTGTGTTAAGGTGAAGAAGAAGAAGCAAAAGGTTCCGTCGGGCAAGTTAGAAGGCGAGAAAAGGGGGGGTGGGTCGACAGGTGGAATCTGAGTGCATTCCCAAGATCTTAGCACCGCGGCGTGACACAACGTGGCTGCTTCCCTCCGGTAAATGCCGAAAGGGCGAGTGAGAGAAATTCAGAGGCGGGTCGAGTTGATACCAGCGAGCGTCATACGTATAAGCCGCAGCTGTCAGCGGCTGGAAACGTGACTAGCATGTCGTCCCGGCTCGAAGCCAACTTATCGCCGAGGGTCCGCGTACCCCGCCTCTCCTCATTATCCCCTTAACGTTTCCCTTCCACCCCAGACTTTGCCAACGACGACGACGACGACAAGAGAAACAGAGAGGGTGGACCGGTTCAAAAATTCAATCTCCGCAGTCCCTTCGTTTTCTTCCTCCTACCCGTACCCCTCGAGCACAGGGAGGGCTTGTACAAACGAAAGAATTTCGGCTGGGGATGAGGTACGGAGTCGAGCGAACGGAAGAGAGTAGGATTGTTGCCTCAGCTGCGGTGCCAGGTCTTACTCTCCGGTGCGCCTTTGACTTGTCGAGAGGATTTTTAATGCGCCATTCCGTCGACTTGGTACAATACTAACTGTCCACAGGCTTGTACGTACAAATTTTTATCGGGTTTTTTCTACACGTTTGTCCTGCAAAATGAGCTTTAATTTTCATCCACTGCTCGCTCACATTATCCTATTCATTGAATAAACGACGGAAGCTACCGCTGACAAGTATATTTCATCAGTAGTGAGTTTTTTCATCGTGTTATCTCAAATAATTACGACAGCAAAAGTGCGCATCTGTCCTGCATACATCATAGGTATCGATCGAATAAGGATCGATGTTTTCCGCGCTACGCAAACATATCAGGTGAATAAACGGCGTTTGCTTTCACCGATATCTCATTGTCGGTGGTATTACTCGTACTTTTTCTACCTTCCTTTTTCTCCACCCTCTGATGTGTAATACGGTAGTGACCCTCGATTTCTTTCTTCTTTTGCTGGAAGCGTGTTGACATGCCATAAAACTGCCACCAGCCCCGACCCTCACCTTTTATGCGCGCGTGTGTGGACAAACACTGCGCTACGGTCTTTTCACGGCCCGTTCAGGAGCTAATAAAAAACAAACTGCCCCGTAACTCAATTTCACGCCACAACCTACATTATGTCCTTGTTTACGTGTTTGTTTGTACGAAATGCCTTTGGCTGTGGAGGCTTTCACGATGTTATTCGTATAGGGGCAACCCTACGTTCGTAGTTAACTCTTGACGTTGATTTTGTGGCACTTGATGTGATTCATTTGTCCATACCCGTAGTGCTGCTGTTTTAGTTCATATTTAACTGTTCAAAGTGCTACTGTTGTATGACAACAGATATGAAGAAAAAAAAAATCATTTGACTAGTTATTTAAAGCCCCTTGACAATATGCAGGTATTATCACAGAGCCCCTCGAGGTGATACAAGACAAGTCCCTACGACTCACGAGAACATTAAATGCCACGAGGGAAGCGACGCGGTTGAGCCGACGGTAATTAAAACTGACAAAAGAGTGGAAACAAGCTCCGGCTCTTCCTTTCCCGATAAGACAAGTGGATGAGGGTCTTACCCGTACCTCCGCAGCTCCGACCCTCAGCCCCTGACGTTCCCTCATAGCAGCAGCAGACACGCGTATGAATAAAACAATCACACGCTACTTACGTTACGTACACCTCGTCATGTCAAATGTGTGTGCACAAACTCGTCCCTCCGGCCCGTGGAAATACTACGAAATAACGCAATTACCCCCCCCGCCGGTGCGATGATACACCCTTTTTCCTCGACCCCTGCTTTTTTCCTCGCCAACTCTTTGCTCCTCATCCCGCTTGGTTGGCTCCTTTCCCTGTGTCCCTCTGCGGAAAAAAAAGGTCCGCGGCTCTCCCACTCGTTACGAGTCCATTCAGACGCCCGTGTGGCGCGTGCCACGGCACCCGCACCTTCCCTTTCCCCCTTTTTTCTTCCCTCCCTTGACCGGAAGCTTATATAGCTACCGACGCGTGCCGTGCGCTCACTGACCAAAGGTAATGGCTGGTGTGTGTGTGTGTGTCCCTCCTCTCACCCTCCGTGGGGCCGCTGTTTTTTTTTTTCACTCCCTTGCTCTCTTTGCATGTCCCTTTTTTAAAGCTCACGAGTAGCCACCGCTGCTTAATTAATTGACGCTGCCGACCAGCTCCACCGAGCGTGAGCTCGTAATTCGATCCCTTCCGCTTGTTTGAAGACTGAGATCTCTTCTTTCTCCTGTATTTTTTTCCATCAGCGATTCTAAGCTCTAATTTGTTGGGTGTGAGTAGACGTGTCTTTGAAGTGACGGAGAGCAGTAGTACGAGTTCCGTTTGGAAAAAGGATTTTTCTACTAATGTAATTAGCGCGTTTGGATTGTAGAAAGTGTAAGAAGAGAGTCATGCTATTTCTGTCCTGAAGCCTCAATGGTTTTTTTGCTGCGTTTTAAATTTCAGAGCATTAATAGTAGCAGAGGAACGTAGTGATTTCGTTGATTCGTACTCATTTCCAATTATCTGTTTACCATAGTAGCACACTTTACCACGCTAATTATTGACGTCTTAATTATATTTGAGTTCCATGATAATGTTTATCGAGTGAGCCCGCAAATTTAGACTTTGAGCCATGGATCGTTCGATTCGTGATTAAATACGGTTATTGGTAATGGTAGTGGTAAACAAATAACTGTGGTAAATGTAAGTAAGCCTCTTAAAATGATCTACGAAATTGCATCTCTACGTCTGAAATAAATAACATGAAAATTTTTGAGCTTCTACAAATTTCAAACGCCTCAAGCTTAATTATTCTAAAACGTGCAAGTGCTAAGTTGTGAAAAAAAATTTGTATTATACATTTAAAAGAAAAAAAAAAATTTCATTTTACAAAAATATAAATTGAAATGTAAGAAATACAATCACTTTTGGCTCGCAAACAAAAAACCCGAGAACTGACGATAAATAAAGATTACTCTGTCAATCAGTGATTATGATTGCATTTCCTTTACAAATTCTCCAGATGAAGTAACACAAACTGACAGTTTGAAACCGGTGAATTTTATTTCATATGTCACATCAGCTAGTAAACTTGACTTACAATTAAAACCAATCTGAACGCGTATAAAAAAGCTTTGATATTGAGCAACGAAATATAAGGTAATCAACAGCTTGGCTTAAAAAACATGAAAAAAAAAAAAGTTAAGTAGGACACAAAGTAATAGTCCCAAGAAAGTTGATTAGCGCAAGAGAGAAATAGGCGTTTGAAAGAAATGTTGAAAGGTTGCACCCACGTACTAAATAGATCGTGCCCCTAATGGCGTCACGTACCCTAATCCAATTTGCCGACGGGCCCACTCATTTTTCGCTCTCCATCACGGCCGCGTCACGAGTCTCGAAGACAGCGCAAACCGACGGCCGGATAAAGTTTCTCCGATCGAGGCCTATGTACACGACGGGGAAGGCCGGGGTAGGATTAGCCGGGCAAAGTTTGTAAAAGTGCGCCCAGCATCCTGATTTGAAACGTATATCCCCGTCCCACTGCCTCGCCGAGACTCGTGCCCTTCCGTCGCGCTCGTAATAATCGCGAAACGCGTGACGAGCCCCGACCTGAGGGGGGTTGGGCTGAAAGAGACACGCACCAGTAACGAACTCGTGCGGAGAAACCCGTGATCTTTCGCGTGGGGCTCGACGACGTGGCTTTGGCACGAAAATTCCTCCTAATCTCCTGATTTTGCCGTGGCTTATTAGAGAACTGGTGCCCTCCCTCGCTCTCGCATTTGTATGGAAATCTCGTGGGTCGAGGGACACGACACGAGCATATTTCCGTCTTCTCCGACATGACGAAGTTATGTAGCCCAATTCTACTAACGTGTCATAAACTAAAATATCGGATGAATGCAACAGTCACGTAAAAATAACGATTTAAATAAATTACGCGCACCTACGTATACGATGCAATTATTTTGCCATCGTGCCAGAGGCAATATCCAAAATCGGTTTCTCCGCATGGCAGGCTCCACTGCACCTCATCGAGCGTAAATCACCATAAAATAAAATGAAAAAAATAACAAAAAAGCCCGCAGTAACAATAAAAACGATATCATCCTTCCTTACGTGCTTTGGCTCAATATCACGAGCAGCCTTTCTTTTGTCTACTTCTCTCTCGGCTCCTTCGCACTCGGTATACCTGCGGTGTATGTAATACACAATAGGTGAACACCGTCACTGCAGTACTGCGGCAAACTCGGGACCAAATGGGGGCAAAGGCCACCGCGTTCTTTGTTTTCCGTGGGATGCGGTCACGTGTCGGGCTGCCACGGACGTCGAGCTAATCTCGCGTGGCTTAGCCGCGACGCCGGGAGCAAATCCCAGGGGCCATTCGCGAATCCACGGGTGAAATCTTCCGTGGCGGACCACATGCCTGTACACACGCGAGCTCTCCTTTTTGGATTCCGTCTCGCATGTTGTACCGTTTCTCTCGTCGTTGGTCTCTCCGAGCTGGTTGGGATAGGACGATACTCTGGACTGATTAATCAATCGGGAACAATCGGTATGGCTACACATACGTATGTCATCGACAGATGTGACTTTTTTTGCTTCCTCAACAGCTAGATTCATAAAATAATGGGAATTCGGATAGATTTAATATTGATGGATAGTATAATGAACTAAGTCATGGTATTCTTTACCGGTTCAAGTCACTTATTCGTAAGGGGAAGCTTAGTACCTATACTTTCCAAGATAGCAACCGTTTGTTAAAAGAAAACTTAACAACTAAGATTTGTAATTAAATTTGAAGTTACGTATTTGATAATAATTTAGTTTCAAAGGGAAACAATATTAGTAAAAGTAGTATTAATAGATGGTAAAAGCTGTTGATTGAGGTAGCACAGGATAGGGTGGAATGAGATTCAGGTGCACACTTAATGGTAATTAATGGCCACCATTGCCCAGGTCTCAATTGAGTGGATCATAAAATTAACCAACCTATGCCCTCTGAAGAGGATTCGATGGAAAAGTTGTGAGACAAGCTGCATAGTACACTCATTGCCTAGCTATGTAACCTTTTTTTTTTAAAATCCAACCACTCGTAACAGTCCATTAATCACTTGTACCATCGCGACCCTCGACTGGCTTTCAATTGGCGTGAACGTATATATACACATATGGAGGGCAGAAAGCTCGGGGAATCCATACGAATTGCAGCTCGTGATGGCGATTGGCGATAGGCATCGACGCACAGCACAAGCACGTGCGAACACTCGTGCAAAGTGCGTCGCCCGGTCCCTCTCTTCCTCCCGTTCACATATATATATGGAGTGGTAGAGAGGAGAATATTTGCACTTAATTGACCAGAGACAGAGAGAAGCTAACAGGGCTGTGGTGCTTTGATTTGTTGCAGAGGGCAACAAGTGCCCGACTCCCGGCTGCACGGGCATTGGTCACGTGACCGGACTCTACTCGCACCATCGTAGGTGAGTACTTAACACCTGAGAATCATCTCACCTTTTGTATTTATCTGATTTTCCGATACCTTGACTAACAAACTACTTCTCGCAAATAGTCCCAAATTTTTTTTTTTTTTTTTTCATACTAAGACAATAATCAAGCACGTTTTAAAAAACAAGTAGTATTCCTCGAGTTTAGTCAGACAAACGGAAATTAAAATACTAAATTTTCTGTTTCGTGTTAAAAAAATATCTCAAAGTCTTTTTGCCCTTCTTTTTGTACTGTGCAATTAAGAATATAGTGCAATAAACAATAACAACAATAAAAAAAGGGGATGGATTTATTTTTGTACTATTTGAGTATAAAAGTATTTTTTGAGAGTTTAAACTTGTGTTTTTCCGGTATCTGTAATTTTTTCAACTTTCTTTAACCAATAGAAATTTTCATAGAGTTCTGCAATCATAAAAATCATAAAATTTGTTTAATTTTAACCAAAAAAATCATTTTGTATAGTTGTAAATTTTTTTGACGAATAACTTCGTTCGAGTAATACCTGTTTGTTTCGAAAAATTAATGAGCAAAGTATCTTGCGAAGTACGCTGTTTTGAATGAAAAATCGTTTCTAATTACCCAGTAATTTACATCGCACTCTTTCTTTTTCAGCTTATCCGGATGTCCGAACAAAGATAAATTAACACCAGAAAGTGAGTACCAGAGCTGCTTTAATCAACCCCCACGTTGTTTCGTTACGTAGCTACAGAGTATGCATATTCTTTGTACAGAACTGTGAGGCTCTGTACTGTAAAGTCACCTTTTTTTTTTTTTTTTTCGCTTTCAACGCCACGATCGGAAGTGAAAATAACACGTTCGCAACTCTATTACCTTCTTTTTTATCTTTTTAACTTTACCAGCCGTACGAGGCGAAAACGTGCGGTGGCATCTGAATGTCTATTATTTTCCAGAAATCGCTGTCAGCTTAACACCACTAATTAAAAAACTTATTTATTCACCAGCCAGTGAACGTATATGTTTTAATTTTCATTGGCTCACGATTCCATGTAATGCAGCGCGAATACATTCTGACGCTTTTCATTCCCGGCGTTGAAAATAAAAAAAAAGCCTGTAAATACAATTATGTATGTATGTATGTATTTATGTTCGTTATATTTGTTATTATTTTGTTGTTCCATAACATTATTATTTTTTATTTAGAACAACCTCTGTGCTTTGTATTTGCGGGGTAGAGAGCTTAATTTATACTACGTTCATTTTTTTTTTTTTTTACCATTTTCACTTTTTCTTTTTCATTGTAGTTTCAAATATTTTAGTAGAGAGTCTATCACTACACTTGACTTGGTTATGTTGCCGTTTTTCATAAATATGATTTTTGAAGAACTCGAGACCCGAGACACGGGAGAAGAGACTCCCGAATCTGAGTGGCGCACATCAGAATTCAATGTGAGGATATCTGTCTTCCTCTCTCTCTCCCTCTCTAGCGTGTAATATAGGGCTGTATAATTCACTAAAATTTATTTAAATTTTACCGATTGGTTTTGTTTTCCGATTGAAAATAATAACTATTATGTTCATGGAGAACGAATTTTCTTTTTTTTTCGTTCAATTAAATGTAACTAAACACTGTTTTGTGCGTGTTTTTATTTTGACGATACTGTACACACAAGTCACAATATTCAATACATTTTTGTGAAATATTAATACATGAAATAGTTAAAAATCTATAAAAACTACTTTTGTAATAAAAACTTATATGAAATTTTTATTAAAGAATTTTTCTTAGTTGATCCAAATTTTATCGAGTCTCATTACAAACACAGGAATTTGGCATTTTTTTTCTTATTGTGTTTCTTATTTTGTGTTTTTTTATGCTCTGAATTAATTATTTCTTTTATAACTTTTTCTCTCTACCCGCAAAGTATTACTGTACGTTTTTTTTTTTTTTTTTTTAATTTGTGTTGAATTCGTGATGTTTGCGTTTTTTTTATCATTTTTTAAAAGTATTTTTATTACTTATTGTTTTATTTTTTTACCCTCGTTCTCCGTGATTCTTTCAATAATTATTAAATGTTTTTTATAATTTCCATATGAAAAAAAGAAAGAAAAAAAAAAACACATTGAGACGGAGAAAAACAGATTCGCCAGTAAATTTTATTCAATAAAAAATGTTGACGTGACAACAACAAAAAATAAAAGTAACAACAAACAAAAACACACGTGTCTGGGTTCTCGCAGTTCTGGCGATGCATGAGACTATTTTGAAATGTCCGACGCCTGGTTGCAACGGCCGAGGCCATGTCAGCTCCAATCGGAACACACATAGAAGCTTATCCGGCTGCCCCATTGCCGCGGCCAATAAACAGGCCGCTCGCGAGGCACGACAAAAGGCTCAAGGTAAGGCTTCTGCGCTCCACCCCATCATACGCGATTTTCTTTCTACTATATTTGATTTTATTTTATTATTATTTTTTTTTTTTTTTTTGACTCCTGCTTTGGGTTTCGTGAGTGTGGATATTAAAAATGACATGAAAGCCAATACGTTTGAGTTGTCCATGTAGCACTTGCTGGAGGACACGTTCGAGGGGCTGCGCACTTTTAAGTGTCGATAAAAAGTCCAAAATCTTATCGAGACATTTTTAGATTTTCAAACACTTCAGAAGACTTTAAATTCAAGAAAAGACTCACGTGACTTTAAAATCTTTCAGCAAATTTTCAATAGCCTTTATGCGACTTGAAATAACTTTAAAGTCCTTTTGAGACTCTTGCAGTCCATTTCAATAAGTTGAAAAGTATGCAGTCCCTCGGACACGTTATCCAATGAATCATTGTCACGTACAAATATCGAAAAGCTAAAGAACTCCCAGCCGGATTGCAAGTCATCGAGGGGCTGCGCACTCTTGAAGTCATCAAAAAAACTTTGGAAGTCATTGTAAGTCTTGCAAAGATCTCGTAAGTCGCCAAAAGACTTCAGAGTACGCAGCCCCTCGCAAGTCACGAAACGTAAATGCGATTTGCGTTGATGTACACATATACATGTATCAATTGCATTCACTTTTAATTTATTACGAATTGCTCATCACACGATCATGTACTACCAAGTTCACAAAAGCTCGCAGCTATAGACTCTGTATTACACTTAATCTGCTTTATGGTGTTTCGCTAGGAAACACAATGAGCGTGATGTATGTCGTTTGTATAAGAGGGGAAAAGTAGTGTTGGTAATTGTTGGCAAATACCAGTATGAAAAGTGACAACACATGGCACTAATGAACCAATAATCCCAGTGTCAGGCATCCCCCCGGAGTACATAAGCACGACCCTCCTGCCGCCGTCGCTGGACAGCAAGCTGTACCCCCAGTACGGCACGGCCCCGCAGCAGGACACGAAGCCCGTGGTGCCGTCGCCCACGTACGACTACTACGCGGCGACCAAGGCAGCAGGTATAAACATCAAGCCCCCAAAGACCCCCGAGGACAGCAGCCAGAGCCGCAACGCCAACAACAAAGTAGTCGCCGTCGTTCCCAAGACCGAGAACGTCCCTGCGAACAGCTGCTGCAGCTTACCCAAGGATCTCCTGGTCCCCAAGACCGAGGACTCGCCCTCTTGTCGCGTTGGCCAAAACTCCCCGGCCCCACCACCACCGCCACCCAGCGTCCGCCAAGCTTACGACTCGTACCTCAACCAGGACTCAAACTCGTCCTCCATGTCCTCGATGGAGGCGATGGCCGGTCCCCGCACCATACACCACCCCAGCCAACAACAACAACAACAGCAGCCCCAACCCCAACAGCACCACGTCCTCTCGATGCAGTCGGCGGTCGCGTACCCCATGCCAGCCATGGTCGAGGACACGCGCATGAGCCACCAAATGGCCCAGCGCACGGCGTACGAGTCCTCGATGATGGCGGCCGCGGCGGGCGAGGACCTCTACTCGCACCAGAGATCGGCGGTCGAGCACGCCCGGGCCACGTACATGCAGCAACACTCGGGTGCCACGAACATAGCCCGGCCGGTGGTCACCTACTCGAACGAGATGACGGCCCGGGGCTACGTCGAGAACTCGGTCCCCGGAGGCGCTGCCAACCACCGGCCGTACGACCCGGGCACCGCCTCGGCCTACGACCGCTACGACGCGTGCACGCCCCTCCAACCCCAACAACAGCAACAGCAGCAACTCCACTCGAGGGCCGCGTCGAACATGTACTACCTCGGGGGACACCAGGTGGGGATGACGCCAGAGGAACAAGAGAGGGCGTACCATCAGGAGGCGGCCGCCGTGGCGGCGCAGCAGCAACACCAGATGGCCATGGCCGCTGCCACCGTCGCCGGCATGATGAAGACGGAGGACGGTGGGTGTCACTTGTCTATACAGGATTTTTTTGTCCAACCATACTAAGCGACAGGGTCATACGTGTACGGGGGTTGTTTTTTTTTTGGTTGCAGTCAAGTGCGTGACGGTGGCGCAGGTGCAACAGCTGCAACAGAAGCCGAACGGCCCGCCGACGTCGCCCGGGGGATCGGTCATGGATCTGTCGACGTCGAGCATCACTTCGACGAGTCCGCAGGTACGTACCTCAAATAAACAAGGCTACTTTGATCTGTGTGCGTGTGTACATGACTATGAACGCGCGCAGGCACCACCTTATGGATCTAACGGCCTGAGTCCGCAGTACGGAGGTGGGCAAACCGTCGGTGGTAGCCCTCAGGCAGCAGCGAGCCCGCATCTGACGGCGAGCCCCCAAGTGCCGAGTCCCCAAGGCCAGACCCTCGACCTCAGCGTGAACAGATTGCACAGGTAATTCCCTCCAGTACCTCTTGACTTTCCTGTAACCGAAACCACCGCGTTTCCTTGCATTGAGTATGAAACCTCTCAATCGAAAAACAAAAAAATTAATGAATTTGGCACAGTGGAGCACCGAGCCCGCAGTACTCGACGGCGCACAGTGAAGGGGTGCCAGTGCCGGTGGGTCCGGGTTTCACGGCACCCCGGCCTATCGAGGAGCAAACCGAGCCAGTCGACTTTTCCACGGCCAACGAGCCGGTTAACTTCAGTGGTGGCATCAGGCCCGTGCCGGGCTTCCCTCCGGGTGTCCACGCGGCGGCCTACAGTCGCGAGAGCACGCCTGACAGCGGCTCGCACTACATGGACGCGTACAGGGATCCCACTGGTACGTCATTTTTTACACTCGTTCTATGGCAATAAGGTCCGACGCGTGTCACAGAGTTTTTTGGTACAACAGAGAATAATATATAATATCTTTCTTGGTCAACCAATATTGAAAATGCTCGAGTCGAATCGAATAAAAAGTTTTTTATTTCCAATTTTCATCCCCTATCGTAATCTCATGAATTATTCCTTTATTTATTTTAATAAAAATAATCAACGTACAGTAGAGCTAAATTTTTGATTCTGGAAGAATTGCACACGCTTGGCAGTACAATTCAATATTTCTATCACTAAAAAACAAAAACAAAAAAAGATACAACACGTTAAAAAAGACGTGTATGAATAATTGAAGCCTCGAAGCGACGCGGAGTTACAATTTTTTCTCCTTCTAAACGCACGTGTGTACAGCCCAGAGCATCGACACGGGCAGACGGGGTTGTAAATTTACACGAGACACGTTCCAGTCGAAACGAACACATTGTCGCGCAACGCGTGCCATTACATTGGAGCCCGGGGTAGGAAGGGAGACCCTCGTAGCGAAGAGAAAGAAAGAAAAAGAGAGAGCCCGCTGTGTATATGCACGGCCCTTGGCGCGATACATCGCGGAACAAAGAGCCGCGCGCCGCTCCTTCTCTCTTTTCCCGGAGGCGTACAGACGAGCTCGGGGGCCGAATAAAAATTCGACCTGTGTCTCTGTGTACCTCGGAAAACCGGCGCGCCCCTGCTTTATCGCCCCGGTGCTCCCTTTCCGCGGTGCCGCGTACACAGTTCCCGTTAATTATCAATATTTCGCGTGCCTGCGAAAGTCCAACCGTCCCCGGCCGTCTCTGTCCGTCCGTTCGTCTTTCTCTACACGAGCGCGTACATGCAGCCCGACGCTGGGGAGCAGTTATTGAAATTGAAACATACGCGCGGTGCTACGTCGCTACGAGTTGCAATATAACGCCGACCCTCTCGTGCTACTTTTTTTTTTCCTTTTTTTTATATCGCGGTGTACGCGGAATTTTTGCTCGCCCCAGCGATTCTTCCCTGACAAATACACGGCCCCGGACTTAACAACGGTTAATCAACCGCTCGGCGGACTTGTCGCACAATGAAGACTGCCTATACGTTGGTGGTGTGGCGCGCGAGTTTCACTGCTTGATGAATGAACTCTGTATGGCCACCCTAGCAGCAAAGGATTTTTTTTTTTTTTACTATCGATATGCACCAGCTACACGTGGCGCTGAAGCAAAGGGGGAATTTGCGTTTGACGAGGAAGGAGTTTCTTTTTTCTCCTTCGCGTATGATTGTTTTTTTCTTTTTTTTTCAGTGAGTAGTTTTTTGACTTTTAAAAATAAAACAATGCATATGGCCTCTGCCACGCCTGTTAAACGTAGTTACACTCGTAATGTTAATCCAGAGAGTATAAAATCCTGGTGACAGTGCAAATTTACTGATTGAGAGTATTTTAAGTAGTAAACCTCAATTACGGTCAGACGCAAGATCATGTGTGGATGGGTATTGACTTGATCGACAATCGTCTCCAGGTTACGGCCCCATGAGCCCCCACCCGGGCTACGGGATGACAGGAGTCCAGCCAGAGTACCCCGGCAACACGTACACGCCGTATCCAACTGCGGGATACCAGTGCGCGAGCGGCTATCCCGGCGGGCCGGTGACCTCGAGCTACCAGATACCAGCCGGCTACTCGCCGGCGCCCTGCTACAGTATGCCACCGCCCCAACACACGATCGGCGGACCCCTCGACAAGCCCAACTGCAAGGACGACAGGTAAGCACGAGGATTGACGTTTACCCACGTGCACAGATAACAATCGCCCTTTTTTTCTTTCTTTCATTCTTTTTTTCTTTGTCTTGCGCTAACGTGCGCCACATGCGATACATCTTTGGCCCCACCTGAGCGCCCGAGCGACTTGTTACGCGGAAGCCGAACTGGCGCTGCGTGCGCTTGGTGCATGTCACGCAAAGCTCATTATTTCCCACGGATCTCTGGTTTTCTTGTTTCACAGGGACTTGGTGGAAAGGGGGGGGGGGGGTGAAATTTCTTTTTGTTTTTAAAATCTGGTGGACACGAGTGCGATCGCATTTCTCGTGACCCGGTGGTAATTGCCCTTCTTTCGTCCTTAAATTGGCCCCAAGTGTACTAGTATGGAGTGCGTGCGGGCCGAGCTTGCGCTGTTACCTGTCACAATGTGTACGGGTGTATTTTCTGTTTTTTCCGTCCAAACGATGTGTGCGCCTGATACGTGCGATAATTACAGCTCGGAGTGTACCAGAGGTTGGAAATTGCTGTTGTTTTTTTTTTTTTTTTTTTTTTTCATGCCAAGGAGTAAGTTGTAAAGAAAAAAGAGCAATCTCACACCACGCGTCCCGAAACTTTGCCCAAAAGTGCGCAAACGGTTCCCACACCGCGGCATTCAAGCACCGGCGCAAACACTCGAGCACGTCCGCCATCCCCTCATATTTTCACCCTCGATACGAGCACACACGCCCGCTCCGAAGCTCAACTATACCGGAATTCAGATGCGCACCAAACTCCCACCCCCTACCTTAGTATCTTCAATGCGGAAGAAGCCGGTGTACCGCCCAGAGCCATACAATACAACATCGCCACAACAGCGGCCCTAAGCGCATAGCGGCAGCCAACGTAGGTGTGTATCCTCGCTTGTGTGTATATGCAGGAGGCAATTCCGGCGTCGCGAGTCTCGCGGTTCGCGAGAGCAATCGAGGGAGAAGCGCTCCTTCTCCCGCGCATACCTCCATTTTGTTAATTAAAGTAATTACTCTTCGTAGGCGAAAGTGCCAACCTTATTCTAATTGACGTAAAACGCGGCGCTGCTGCTGCGATGCCGAAAGAACCGAGTGGATGGTGTGAGGCCAAAGTGGGGAGGGGAAGCCGCGGTGGGTCTCCTCTCGGGTAAAAGGGAGGAAGGGGGTGGAGTATAATCAGTTGCCACCACAGTGGATTACGCCGGAGCCCCCGGAACGTGCCACCTCTCGACCCTCCCTCCCTCCCTCCCTCCCTGCTCTTCCTCGTTTTGCCTCTTGTGTCGTCGCGCGGAGAGTTTGCTGGCTAGTCCTTTCCCATTGATATTCGACGGTCCGGCTGCCGCTGCCGATGATTACTCGACTTTATCTCGTTTTAGGGGAGGAAGAGGGTAAAAACGTTGTGACGCCTGTATCTCTGAAACGTTATGAAAACGCCGTTCGCGGAGAATCAAGGATTTTTCAAACGTATTGCTAGCCCCAATGGGGTAATCAATTTTACGTAAAAGCTATCCGGTGCCATCCTGCCGAGAGGTGAATCGATCGCAGGATGCAGAAGCAGCTGGTGCTTTCTTCGTCTTCTACTTTAATTCGCTCATCCCTCCTCTCCCTGCCCCTACAGAGACCCCACATCCCCTTCTCGAAGCTAAACTCTCTCGTCCAAAGCTGGGAGGTCGATAGCGATACTCCAGCGTTATTAATGACCCCAGCCAATATTACTCCGCTCGTATACGCTCATACCTCGCGGTCCAGACGCTCCCGACTGCTAAACTTTTGTATCAGTCCCGACGAGGATTTCTTTTTCGTCTTTTTTATAATACTGTTGTTATCGCTACTGCTATTGTATATAGGTTCCCTTAATCGAACGATGTGGTCGGGGGATCGGACTCGAGTGTAAATCAACGTATAATTATCGTCATTAGCTCGATACTTGGGCTTATTTTCATTCATTGGATAACTAGTGGATGTAAGCATGATTTAATCGATTTTAGTAGTAGTAAGCGATTTTAGTCAGCCAAACGTTTTTTTGGACATTTTCTCCTCGCGTGGCGGCAAATTCAAAGTTCATTTCGGTCCAAAAACATTCTCTGTACCATTTTCCAACTTTGACGTTCCGCGAGCTGAAACAATAACGTCGTCCACCAGCAAGTGTTGCGAAACAGTCCTCAACAACGACGAGATAGAAACTTCGAAACGAGACTTTCCTTCATAAGCGAGAATAACGAGAGAGCAAAGCAAACAGTGGTAAAACACAGATGAACACGGCGCAGAGAGAGAGAGAGAGAGAGAGCAGGGCGGACGAGCACGTAAAAAAAAAAACGTGAGGGTCAAACCAGGGTCGGGCGCGCACGCACATCGGAGGTGGGCCCGAAGCCACTTCTTCCCTGCAAAGCTGCCCGTGGCCTTTCTTCATAGGCCACGAAAGCGCTCAGACGCGGCCGAGCTTCGTAGGCATGGGCTCTTTGGTAGGTGGGTCGCGTGATTGCACTCAAGGCCCCGGGCAATATCGCGGCCACTCAAGGGCCATCGAGACCCTTCTCCTCTGGCTGTACTCTCCTGGCAAGAACCCCGACCGTGCCCTACCGACCTCCCTCTTTCTCCTCGGCGTGGGTCTCGAGTGCACTTCCGACATTTTTCATATGTTCCGTTAAATCAGGAAATACAATCAAACTTCCCTCGAGACCAGAGTGGCTCATGGGCGATACGTGCACTGGAGATTCCTTGAGGGGGACGCTATCTCGTCATATTTTTCGTATTCATCATACTCAATGTACACATGGCGTCGAGACGTTTCAATTTAACGAGCGATCATTACTTATGTTTGCGTCCGTATACCCCTCCACTTGAGATGTAAATGAGACCTTTGAAAGATTGGCCTGTCTGAAAATCCATCATTGATGTTTCACGCGACTTTGGGGCTCACTTGACCGTATAAGCTCTAAAATAAAAATAAAAAAAAACTGTAAAATAAAAGATCAATCGAGCTTCACATGGATCACCCGTTACGTGACCGTCCACGTGATATATCACTCCGGTATCGAGAGTTTACACAAGTTTGATGGTCGAATAATGCAAAGGGATGAAAATAGGGAGGAGCGCAAAACTAGAGCCGAGTCTGATTGATGATGTACGACATATTGTGAGCGCAGTGCGAGTGTGAGGAGGCAACCCTTGAATTTTGCGGGGACACCGCCAGTCCGGTCGAGCCCTCGCGGTCGCGATGGCAAGGAGCTGATACAGTGCCCCACCTCCTCCTGCGATGGCATGGGTCATGTCTCGGGGAACTACGCTACCCACAGAAGGCAAGGCAGCTCATTCACTTCTCGTTTCTTGACCTACTATATTATTGACTCAATTTTTATTTCTTCTTTTTTTTCTTTCTTAAAAGCATCCTGTGTCCCTACCCTTTTACAATCCATTTGTTTCTCTCGATCTCTCTTTCATTGACACGAACAAGCTATCGGGCACACCTCAATCTCTACACATCGATACAAGTTTATTGATTTCATATTTATCTCGATATCTGACAATAGTAACTAAATTTCGCTTATGTATCAGTCTTTCGGAAATTTTTTTCGACTTTCAAGTCCACCATTAATTTTATTTCGCACAAACAAACCCTGCCCACTTTTGCACGAGTATTGAAATTATGCTTTAAAACGACTAATTTCTTGCACATTTTTTATTCATGAATAATTATTTTTAAACGTCAACTTTTGCCAACTTTTAAATCTACAAATCTTTTTTACGTGACTAAAAAAAAAAAAAAAAAAAAAAAAAAAATACGTCATGAATGAAAACACACAACAGTATAACTTTTCTTTTCATTTATTTATTTAAATTCATGCACACGTTTATCTACCTATACTTACTGAACTCTTTGTATGCATCACGTAATTGTTAGTCTCTTTCATTCCACCTAAATTCAATAGAAATGCAATCATTCGTAAAACATGTGTAGTTGTTCCTTATGTGTAGAAAGGGGACCTCCTTCTTTCAGTAGTTGACCCGACCCCTACGAAAAAGGGATGACAAAATTGAGAAAGAGCGTATACATCATTACTCGCCTCATTTGAACAGAAATGTCCTGCAAAAGGGACATTGCTTGCGTATATTACTGCCATGCCGGCCTCTGATGGGCAGTTTTGTAGCGAACTTGGTCAATGACCGTGTCATTGCACAATCAAGCGTATGTGGAGCGAAACTTTTTTTGAAATGTAAAAAATTTAATTTAAAAGTATTTCATACAATCATTTACTGCGTATGAAATAATAAACAATTGGCAATCGACGAGTTTCACTGGGGTCCGGTATGAGTGTGTGTCCCCGATCTTTCTTTAATGTTTTTAGATTATTGATATTATTCAATAGCTTACTATGTACCTACACCACCATGCGCTTACTCGATCTTACGAGCGACACCTCATGAGTGATCCGAATGAAGCACGACTTTGTCGTTTGCATGTGTGTATGTATGTTTATACTGCGCTCCATCCAACATATTTTTGCTCTTTTGAGTTAACTTCTAAGATAAGTCAGCCAACAAGCCATCCTTTGAAGCGTATCAGCTAAACCCAAGGGTGTCATAGCCATTATTGTAATAAAAACAATAGGCGTTAAGATTCGCAAACTAATTCTGAGCTGTGACGACACATGGCAACGTCGCGTAATATGCATGTGATACACTGTCAATGACGATGCCATTAATGGATGTTTATGAGGTGTACGTTCGCTCAAAGCCATAAAGACGCACGCATATCGCACTACGATTTTTCTTTTAATAAAAAAAAAAAAAAAAATAAGCCGATGGACACTATATTCGTCATGGCAAAGATACAACGAGGATCGAGACGAGGATCCCAGGAAGGTCTTCCTGATACATATACACACACGGATGCACAAATATATATTATGTTACACTCGCAATAAACGTGTTTAACGCAACGATCGCGTGTTTTTACAGCCTCTCCGGATGCCCGCGAGCCGATCGCTCGCAGATCCAGGCGCACTCGCAGGAGCTCAAGTGCCCGACCCCCGGCTGCGATGGCTCGGGCCACGTCACGGGAAATTACTCTTCCCACCGAAGCTTGTCCGGATGCCCGCGGGCCAACAAGCCGAAGAGCAAGCCCCGTGATGGCCAGGACTCCGAGCCCCTCAGGTCAGTATTTTGCCCTGTGCAACAATAAAAATTTTTCTGACCTCCAACGATCTCCCTTATGTGGGTGTAATGGGCACGTTACAATGAACGTACTAGCAAGCGTGAAGCTGTAAAATTTTTAGTGGGAAGCCGAGGACCTTACGGGTACGTAAGCAGTTATCGGGAGGAAGGAGCATGACGATTTATTTTATCGGTCGTAGTGCGCGCGCGACGTTTAGTGGCCAAAATCACGAGTTTTGCTGATACGATCGGTTTATGGGTGGACGCTATTACGGTAGTTCTGTTTGTATATGTATTTGCCCGAAAAGTATTAAGTGATACGCACCATTGTCTGACAATAATTTTATTTACTTAAAAAACTATGTCTGACTAAATATGAATATTACTACTTAAATAGCGTAGATTTTTCGATAGAATAGCTTTGTTGGAACTTGATTCATGGGAAAATGTCTGACCAAATACCGATATTACTACTAAAATCACGTAGATTTTTCTATAGAACAACCATGTTGTAACTTTCATCGGGAGAAAATGTCTAACCAAATACCAGTATAACTACTGATATTATGCAACATTGCCTGACAGAATACCTATACTACTACGAAAATTATGGAAAATTGTCACTATTGATATTAATGGTAGTTATGAGAGCCGTAAAAAATTGCCTAACTGGATACCAATTTTAGTACTAGAATCGTAAAAGTTTGTCTGACCAAATACCGATATTACTACTGAAATCGCGTAGACTTTCTGATAGAATAACAAAATTGCAACTTGAATCGTGGGAAAATGTCTGACCAAATACCGGTGCGACTACTGAAGTCATGCAACATTGCCTAACAGAATACCGACACTACTAGTATAATTGTGTAAAGTTGTCCTAATTAATATGGATGGTACTTTTGAGAGCAAAAAACTGTCTGACTGGATACCGATATTACTATTAGAACCGTACAAGTTTGTCTGACCAGATACTAATGTTGCTAATGGAATCGCAAAAAATTAATTTCCGGATACGCATCACGGCTTTTGAATCAAATACAGCTAGCCTCGTTGGTAGCGTCCGTTGCCTTCTTTTCACGCCTATTACGAGCTTGAATGCACTTGATTGCTCCAGTCGTTTACAAAACCAGTTGCACGCGAGTGTGAGATCTGTCTCGGTTTCCCTATTCGACAGAAAGGGCTTGTGCTCCGCAAAAGGGGTGAACTCTAGCACACGTATCCCTTTTGGCCGCACCCAAGTTTGAAGCCAAGACGCTGACTAATATCTGGCGGTTTCCGCTCGTTTCACGCTCGTGCGAGTACAGCCCCCCCCCCTGTCTTTCTTGCATTCGTCACATACACGTGTATGAGTTATTACTGGTTATATAACTTTCCCCTGTCTCTCTCTCTCTCTCTGTCTCTCTCAAAATACTTGGGACGCGCATGGATGTGACTGCGCCGCCACTGCAGATGTCCTATCCCGGGCTGCGACGGATCTGGTCATGCCACCGGCAAGTTCCTGTCGCATCGCAGGTAAAAACACCGCCCCTTTCGAACCTAAGACATCTTTTGTTGTGAACCCCACTTTTTCTCGTTTCTGTTTTGTACTTATGTTTTGTCATACATACATTTTGTTGTATACGAGTATTTTTGTCCACCTCGCCCGCATGTTCTTCCACCTGTTAGTAGTATCCAGGCCTACATTCAGTACGTATAAGATCCTAGAATCCCCTGATCCTTTGTGTCAAATGAAATATCACAAAAGAATCACGGTTCACCGTCTCTATGCTCTTTAATTCGATTGCCTGGCGAAGCGTACATTCGCACATAAGTAAATTCGCTCGATACTCTCCCCGAGCGACAGTAGTACACAATTGGCGAGTTGTTCCATTCAACCAAGTAATGATCAAAGCAGCATGCACCAAGGTCCCCCACTTTGTCGGTACAATGGAGAGCCCAAGCAAAGGGACGTCATCAATCGAATTAAAGAGCCACTACGAGACGCGCACTGTATGTGTATTCGCATTGAGAGAGGAACACAGGGAGCAAACGATTGCCGATGATTACAGCGCGTCGGGCTGCCCCATCGCTAATCGCAACAAGATGAGGGTCCTCGAGTCGGGTGGTACGGTTGAGCAGCACAAGGCCGTCGTAGCAGCGGCCACGGCCATGAAGTTCGAGGGTGTGAACTGCCCGACGCCGGGCTGCGATGGCATAGGACATATCAATGGCTCCTTCTCCACCCACCGATCGCTATCGGGTTGTCCGATTGCTGGACACACGATCAAGAAGCCCAAGTTCGAGGACATGTCGGCCATGTATGGCAAGAGCCTCACAGGTGAGTTGTTTTGCTACATCATTTTTTTCGAATTTGAGGGTGTTTGATGGGTGGGTGAACAGAGAAACAGTGCAGAGATTGCGTTTGTATGGTTAAACTTGTTTGACTGTACGTTGACTTTACTACTTGATTTATTGAACGAAATGAGTATCTCGAGACGTATATTACTCTTTCTCTGTTATGCCACTACTTTTCTTTATCATTGGAAATATTTGTAACAGTTGATTAATTTTATTACCTAAAAATACTGTAAATAAAATTTTGCCATCGATATGATGAAACATCGATTTCGTATATATGTGTATGTAATTGTTATCGTTTTTCTCTTATTCGATCATTTTGCAAAATTAATAAAAAAAATCGAACGTGCATTGATGAAATGACAATGCACAATAGTTGACCTCGTATTTGACTTTGTACTTCGCCACGCTCAGCTCTTAATTCTCATGCAATGATGTGCCGTCATACCAATCAGGATTTTTCCTTTTATCCCAATGCAAAAAATCTTACACATTTTTATTTTGTTTTTATTCAACTTATTCTTTTTCGTTTTGTTAAATATTACGCAATTCAACAAAATAGACACATTTATTACCAAACCCTTTGTGACTCTGATTAGCAAAATTTTTCAACTTTCACTGCTATCCTCCAGTCCATTTTGCATGCTAAAATGATTAGAGCTTTCATCAAAGTCAAATATATACAAAAAATTATTTTCAACTTTGCAGAGAATTTTTAAATGATTAATCACCTAAATGACACTGATAATATTTGATTTATGAAACTTTTTGCATAGAAGAAAAACGATAGACTAACCGCGTGAGTCACAAAGGGTAATAACAGTCATGCTTTTGAATAACAATGAATACTTGGTAGGACATTTTATTTTACATTCCTTTTAAAATTTACTTTGAGACTCAAAAAATTGTATCAAAAACTGTATAAAAAATGACATGAAGCACCAGTGCGATGAAAAATAACCAACTCTGATTTATTCTGGGATGGCAATCAGCTCCTTTCCTGTCATTGAGCCTTGAGGAGAACATTTACTTTTGAAGGTAAGGGACTGACGTACTCGCCACTTTTTATGTATTTCTTTTTGGTGTTACACAAACAAAAATCCTCACACACAATTATCTCTCGCGTGTTGGCTACCTCTGACGTGCACAGTCGAAAAAAATGCAGGTCTGAAAAAAAAAAAAAAAAAAAAAACGATTGAATTAACCAGCCACTCGATGAGTGACAAGCACTTTTCACACCCTATATACCGGATTGCAAGAAAAAAGAAAAAAGAGACCTTAGTCCTTCCCCGACTGTGCACACGTCACGCTAACAATGGAGAAGCCAACACTCGGCCCGTCACCCTTCACACTGTCTTTTTTTTTTCTCTCGAACTGTCTGGTATGATGGCACTTTACGCTATAACAACTCTAGCCGCAGCAGTAGCTTCCTCTTCCTTTTCTCTTTCTCTCTTGCCCCCACGACAATTGATATTCGACCACCGTAACAGAGCCATACATACCTTTTCTCTCTCTCTCTCTCTTTACCCGCACCTTCTTTCTCTCTATACCTATTGTTCCGCTTAGCGGGGGAAAACAAAAAAGGTCACGCGCGTGAAACAATGACCGGGGCAATCCACAGGTTGCGAGGGCGCGAGGATGGCGATTATAAAGTGAAATCGGAGATCGACGCCGCGACGAGTGAGGGCGGAGCCACGCAGAGGGGCTTTTAATGATTACGAGGCAAAGCGTGTGGTAAAAAAGGCCCACACGCGTGTGCCAGAGTCACGCGCGCCAAGGCGCCAAGGATCGTCTCGGATCCCCATGAATATAGTACACGGACGCGGGATAACGAGCTAATGATCCTTGGCGCCCACGGAGGGGGGTCCTTTGACTTGGCAATGATTATTTCATTCCGTCTTCTCAGGCACCCCTTGTTTTCCGTGCTGATTACAACTAGATCGATTTTGAAAGCACAACCGGTCTTGTACGGAAATAAACATTGCCAAGTCAAACTCCCACCCAATCGAACCAAAAGAAAGACCGGAAGAGGTGCAAGAAAGAAAGAAAGAAAGAAAGAAAAAATGAATGGTCCTGGTCCAGGAGTAGAGACGAACGGCAGCGGCATTGGGCCATCGGTAGGTCCTCCCAGCAGCGTCGGCTTGCACAGCGTGCCCATGGGTGGTCCACCTCTGGGGAGCAGCGGGGTCGGAACCAACAGTGCCGGTGGTGGTCCAACCGGTGGTGCCAATCAACCCGAGGACCTGTACACACTGGAGGCCGAGATAACCGAGCTGCAGCGCGAGAACGCCCGGGTCGAGTCCCAGGTACTGCGTCTGCGCTCCGACATCAGCGCCATGGAGAATCAGCTCAAGCACGGGGATAAGGTGAGTACATGTAGGCTGGGAAAGCGGTGTCCGGCCGGTGCCGTAGCTCGGTCGGTACCCACTGCTGCTCCGACACATACAGATGCGTGTACCCGTTGTCGGTGCGATACGGTGCTATGATATGATATATATATATAGTGGCGTGCACTGCCGTTCGAGATTATCGATGTACCAAGTGTGATTTGGGGCAAGTGCGGCACTCCGTTGCGTCGTGGGATCGGCTTGTCCTTCTATCCTCTTTCTCTTTTGATAGGGTGACTTTCTCGCGTACTGTACGATGAAAATAGCGTGAATGACCGAGCCAACGTACCAGACGATACATTGTCCCGATTTTTTTCAAATTTTCACCGTCCCAATTACTCGCAAACTTTTCACATGGATACACTTACACAGCTTATTCAAATGCACTTTTTGCTAACGACACTTGCTGCACGCTTTCCGACCAATATGATTTGTTTACCTGAAACTGGACTCACTGATTTCTTGTGTGATAATCGAATCATAATTTTAATGAAAAAGAAAACCTTGTTTTTTTTTAACAACTAATTGCACCCAACTTTTTACCGAAGGCGTTGCGATTTGAGAAGCAAAATACTCGTTTTTATTGAGTATACGTGAATAACGCTTTACATAATGACATTTTTTTCCCATTTATTCGTAAAAAATGGTCTTTTTTCATTCTAACGCTGCTCACAATAAAACATTACAAAAAAAAAAACATCATGACTTAAGCTTGTTACTTTACCGATTCCTTGCTACAGCGAGCGAAACAAGATTCACTCGATCGCATGAAAAAAAAAAAAAAAAAAAAAAAAAAATCCTTCCTAAACTGAAATAAACATTCGAACCTCGTGTCAACAGGACAACGCAGTACTGTCCCAGCGCAACAGCAACGTGAACGAGTACTACCAGTCGCTGCGCGACAACATGATGAGTCTGCTCGAGCACGTGCGGATACCGAGCGCAGGAACGGGTGGCCCCGTGGCCGTGGACAACAACAAACCAGGCCACCACCATCACCACGAGAACAACTTTGACAGCTACCTGACCAAGCTCCAGACCCTCTGCACGTCCGACGGCTATTGCGCCGACGAAGGCCAACGCCCCATCTACGAGACCGTCAAGACCGCGCTCCAGGACTTCACCGTACTCCCGACGCCCATCTGAGACCACCACCAGGGCCTCTATCGAAGGAACGACTACGCCTAGCTCGACTAGCCGATTCTTCTTGACGATCGCTGCAGGCCTCTTTTTTACAAACGACCACCTTTGTAGCCGAGACTTTTGTTTATCGATCGCCGTCACCATTCGCCGAGCGATGGTCCACTGTTGCGGGGTATCCGGAATCGGGATGGAAAAGGACGATGAACTCATCCTCGCGATGTCTCCGATCATACGAGCTCGTGTAGATTCTTATGGTTCTCGTGTCACGGTATTTCAAGTGTTCAGCTCACCCACACGGATTCGCGCGGACAGCGGAGATGACACAAGGGAACTCTCCGATGTTCGTGAAAAATCGCGTATCGACAAGATGGCACGTTCCATCGTACGATCAACTCAAACACGTATAAATGTATACCATAATGTTGTAAGTGTATAATAAACGAGCGCGTTGCGGTGAGCATCGATGTGTTAGTGTAAATGGTGTGTGGGTGTAAGCTGCGTTTTTGATTCAGTGGAGGAAGGTCCACGCGTCGACGCGTCTTTTTGTACATATGATGAAATGTCGATAAGAAAAGAGCTCGGGGCGCGCGACAATCGTCGCCCACGCGGCTCCACGAAGTATACTTGTACATACCGACATAATCGTAAGCAAGCTAATCCTAAGTCGTTTATAAATATATACATATAATATACTGTGCAGGGTGACGGAGAGACAGTAAACTGGTATGGGAGGAAAAAAATGTTGTACGGTTACCTAAATATAAGTCGTGTAAAGGAAAAAAAAGAAAAAAACAAAAAAAAAAAGGGGGATGCACAATCTTTAGCTTACCGTAGTTGTTATAACGACGTGAGCTCTTACTGGCGCTTACAATCTAAATAATCGCGTAAAACTCAATACCGATGACCTATTATCGTTGACACCTTCCCTTATCCACTCACGCATACTCGTTCGTATACCTACCTTCACGTGGTATATATATATATATATATATATATATATATATATATATATATATATATATATATATATATATATATATATATATATATATATATATATATATATATATATATATATATATATATATATATATATATATATATATATATATATATATATATATATATATATATATATATATATATATATATATATATATATATATATATATATATATATATATATATATATATATATATATATATATATATATATATATATATATATATATATATATATATATATATATATATATATATATATATATATATATATATATATATATATATATATATATATATATATATATATATATATATATATATATATATATATATATATATATATATATATATATATATATATATATATATATATATATATATATATATATATATATATATATATATATATATATATATATATATATATATATATATATATATATATATATATATATATATATATATATATATATATATATATATATATATATATATATATATATATATATATATATATATATATATATATATATATATATATATATATATATATATATATATATATATATATATATATATATATATATATATATATATATATATATATATATATATATATATATATATATATATATATATATATATATATATATATATATATATATATATATATATATATATATATATATATATATATATATATATATATATATATATATATATATATATATATATATATATATATATATATATATATATATATATATATATATATATATATATATATATATATATATATATATATATATATATATATATATATATATATATATATATATATATATATATATATATATATATATATATATATATATATATATATATATATATATATATATATATATATATATATATATATATATATATATATATATATATATATATATATATATATATATATATATATATATATATATATATATATATATATATATATATATATATATATATATATATATATATATATATATATATATATATATATATATATATATATATATATATATATATATATATATATATATATATATATATATATATATATATATATATATATATATATATATATATATATATATATATATATATATATATATATATATATATATATATATATATATATATATATATATATATATATATATATATATATATATATATATATATATATATATATATATATATATATATATATATATATATATATATATATATATATATATATATATATATATATATATATATATATATATATATATATATATATATATATATATATATATATATATATATATATATATATATATATATATATATATATATATATATATATATATATATATATATATATATATATATATATATATATATATATATATATATATATATATATATATATATATATATATATATATATATATATATATATATATATATATATATATATATATATATATATATATATATATATATATATATATATATATATATATATATATATATATATATATATATATATATATATATATATATATATATATATATATATATATATATATATATATATATATATATATATATATATATANTGCACCGTGACTTATGTATTAATGTTTTTAAGATAAATAAAAATGGCAAAACCTTGTCACTGTATCGTTGTTGAATGAACTGAGTACGTAAATACATCATAAAAATAAATAAATGCATTAAAAATATACGATTCATGTTGATTATTCTTTTTCCGATGAAAAAATAAACCGACATATTTTCATTATTACACATCTAGCCTACGATAAATTGTTTGATCATACTGATAAAACGCTGTTTTACGACAACTCGACGATTAAAAACCATTTATTATTTTATTTTACTCTCACGCGATGTGAGCCGAGCAATTACTGTTATCAAACATTTCAGCAGAAATACAACTTTTTTTCAACCCACAATTAAATTTTTTTCCAATAAAATTTAACTTGCTTGGATTTTATTTTCTGACCAAAAACAAAGTCCATTCATAACATATTCTGACTAATGGAAAAAAAATAAACGGCAATTCATCCAAGACAATTGGCAAAGTGAAAAACGAGAGCTAAAATAGAAAAGAATGACTTCCAAAAAAGCTTGACGATACGAATAAAAGGGAGAGTCACTGCGGGACCGAAAAATATTTCCCTCTTTCGATTTATTAATTTTCTGTGGCAGTAGGCAAGGCAAGAAGCAGAAGAATCAACATCGGCGCGCGTGTCGCGTGTGTTTCATCCTCACCGATATCCATCGATTTTCAGCAAATAAATGACGGCTCTCGCGCGGCCTTGACAGTAATTGTCACGTTCGTGAACGTGTTTTACCTTGTTGCTCGAAACTTCAGTGGACTCGCGAGAATCGCGATAAACGCTTTGTTTTCCATCCGTGCGAGAGATAATTCAATTAGAAAATTTTCTGAAGTGAGGGAAAAAAGCGAAAAACAAAAAAAAATTCCCCTGCGACACGAAACCAATGGAAGTTTCCGCGATTGATAAGAGCTAACGTGATACCGATAATGATTATGATAAGGGATTTTAAACTATTTGCACTCGGATTCGTCATAATATACTCTTTCATAAGACAAAGATTAATCGTTCGCGCACGCACGAGTGCCAATGTGGAAAAATGTTAACAAAGTAGGTTGAATAGACCCAAATGAATTTTGTTTGGAAAAAAAATTGAAAGATGGTTGTGCCAGTCGTGTGCTGATTTGCAAGTACAAAAGCTCAGCTCACGTGCCATTATTGTCATCACCGTTTTCACATGATAGAGATCAAAGGAGGGGTCAGGATGACAAAAATCGGTACAAATAGCTATTTATTGCAAATAATTGAGTTGGTATAACCAGGTAGTTATGTATAACAGGTATAGATGTTCAGTTCTCAAGTATGATAATTGAGGAATCATAACGAAATATAGATTTCCAATGAATATTAGTGATATTCGAATTTTTTATTCATCTTTTTTTTTCTTCAAAAGTTGCTTACTGACAAATCGTAGTACATGTCTATAAAACTTACATTTAAATGCACGTCGAATCGCTGGCTATCGCAGAAATTTTTTTCTTTTTTTCTTTTTTTTTTTTTATCTACAAGTATATCTCACAAGAGTGTTAATAATAATACAAAATAACGCTCATTACAAACGTAATAACGCAACGCGACAACCAATCTTCGATCAAGACTGACGATGGGAAAAAATGAAAAACAACAATATGTTCTGGATCTCACTTTGACATATTATGTACTCTCATCGCGTTATTGGAATACAAAAAAAAAAAAAATTACATCTTAAAAATAATAATAATAAAATTGTAATAAATACGAAATGTATAAACGTATAATATATATATATCACAAGAAAATGGACAGTTGGATCGTTACAGGTGTGCATGTACACTGTTTCGTCGTCGCGTAATCGTCGAGTAAAAAAAAACAAATTAAAAGGAAATAATACAAGTAATCCAATTCCTCATCATCACTCAACACTTTTTCGAAACATCGCGATCCACCCTATTTTTTGTTTCTTCAACACAATCAGCTCAGTCCCACGTCTCTCATTCTTCGAATTGAACTCCTCCCTTTCCCGACCGCACCCTCTTGGCTGTGAATACAATCAGTGGACAAAGGCAACCCTAAGCTCGATCGGAAGGTGGAAAAAAAAAAAAAAAAAAAATCAGGGCAAAGGCGATGCTGGTGTGTGCTGTTCTCTCGTTAAAATTCGTCCGACCTGTCACTTCGACACGGGCGCGTTGAACTGGTGAAAAAATGTGCTCAGGAGACGCCGGTGTTGATAACATGTAAATACATTAGTATACTTGTGAGGAGGAAAAATGCGAGCTTCTCTCGATGACGCACAGTGATACGTCGCGTTGCACGATCCAGCGTCATTTTGTACCTATATAAGAAGTCAAAACGCTTTTACAATCAGTATTACAGTAGTAGATGTCATGCAACGCATGCCTCCTTTTTTTTTTCATTTTTATTACAGAAATGGGAGACGAGCGTTTTTTGTTGGTAAAAAGTGACGTTGGGCTGCTACGAGAAATGAATTGGGCCAGTCGATGACTGACCAGCGATTAAAATATGTTTCGTTGGCTTGGTGTGCTAAAGCATGAGCCTATCGGCTACGATGGTGGGTATAAAAATGGTGCAATCAAAGAAATTTGCCAATGAAAATCACAAACGAGTTACCAGTGATATGTTTCGTATGGAGATTTTTGTATACTTGTTTTATTTCAAAACACAGTTTTCGTTTTTTTCTTCTTTGAATCGTTTTATTAGATTGGAGGAAAATATTGGGTATACGTTTCTGGTCGTGTCCAAAAGTTTTGCTATCATTGCGACAGTTCTCAATACGTGTACGATTTCGAGTACAAGTGTCATTGGTCTCTCGCATGTATCATTGATGTTTCATGTGGCAGAAAAAAGGGAGGAAAAGAAAAAAAAGAAAAACATGATTCTAAGTGCAATAATCGAAAAAGTATGTCAATTGCATTGCACACGATTATTTCGCGAATAGGGTCAGTACCCCCCCCCCCCAAGTACAGTGATATTTAGAATTTATTAAACGTAATGAAATAAAAATAAGAAAAAAATAAATAAGAAAAAACTATTGAATTTTATTGTAATAGCATTTATTAGTTGATTGCGTATCGTTTTAACCTGATGCTGCGATAATTTGTTCATTGCTAAGATAACCAGTTGGCGATATTTGCACTAGTCGATAATTTGTTGTTAAAAGGACAGTTTTTATCCAAATGTTTCTTTTTCTCTACATTACGAAGGGATAT